TATTATTATTATTATTATTATTATTATTATTATTATTATTATTATTATTTGCTCCCTATATCTCTCTGCAACACTCACGGTCACAGTTTTAAGGAATGCTCGTCTGAAACAAGATGCTATGGAAATTACATGGCTGTTACCAAAGAGAGATTGCTCTTCTCTCTACTATAATATTGAGTAAACTACATTGTGTGACAAATCTCTTATTGATTGCATTACTTACTGAGCTCCCCTGCCCTTCACCGACTGAAGTCTGCAGCAGAGTGGAGGGAGGGAATGCTACCTGCAAAATGATTTCACCATGCCGTATAATTTAGTTTGCTATAAATTACTGGGAAAGGTGGAAGGGAAGAGACACAAGGTCGGTGCTTTGGAAATAGCCATATCGTCATCCGGTTTCAACCCAGTTCAAATGGAAATCAGCACAAAACTAAACTGGAAGCCATATCCAATTGTGAGTGGGAAGCAAAGCATTTATGACCAAACTTAATTGCCTGTTGGAAACTTATTTACTCAGAGGTAGTAAATTTGAGCCAGGGTGGACTCATTTAATACTTATTTACTTATTTATTTAACTTATATGCCGCCCACACTACCCGAAGGTACAGTGATGATGATTTTAAAAGGGTGCCTTCCTATATTTGTCCTAGAGTCAATTCAGTTCAATAGACAAAAATGAGAAAAAAGAACACAGACATAGCAAGAATCAATGAAAGCCTCATCTTTTTAAAATGACAAAGGAATGTAAGAACAAGTAGCAGTAATTTGATCCTTGTCCCCTGAGCACATACACATGCAAATGTAAGATGTATAAGACAGCCAAGAAATCCAGGTTTACTGATATCTCTTGATAAAACAAACCAGAGTTGAAGCAGAGTTTGGCGGGGGGAATCTGTCCTCCCTAAAATAAGACCCATTTTAGTTAGCCTTTCAAATATCAGTATATTTTCAGTCTGGGACTAACAGCTCTTAAGGGAAGGGATAATAATGCCTACGTGTAGAACTGCCACTGCTCCACTCAAAATCAGCTCCTCAGAAGTGAGCAGACATGGTTTGCACCATCATTCCTTGCTAATCAGCCCTCATCAGGGCTTGACTGTATTTCTAATATTTTTTATTAATGCAGTTTGCCATAAGTGAAATTATATGTTAAAACATTGCAATTATCCTGCAAAGCTGCTTCACATTGGTGGGAAAATTGGTCTGGCTAATTTAAATCATTCATTATTCAGTGTGGATTTTATTAGCAAATGCTATGTTTGCACTTCATGTAGCTCTACATTATATTATGTTACCAAGTCTTCTTTTTTGAATAGCAAAGGAATTGTATTATTTGAAAGAATATAGAACTTTTAAGGGTAGCTGGTTCTATATCTTATTGTATTTTTTAACAATTCCCAATTTATGTAAGCTTCAAATTGCTATATTTGAGACTCATATATTGCTGTTTTATTTCTTGTCCAATATTCAGCAACAGGGATTGTATTCAGATTGTGTGCATATTAATGCATTCATAGCAGGTCCTTTGGTCTGCTTTTTTATAAGTTATTTTCCCCATTCCTATTGAGAAAAGCTTTCAGCACTTACAAAGCACCACTCCTGCCTGACAGAAGTATACCTTGGCTGCCAAATTCAAGGGTATTGTCTTTTTGTATGTAATGCATCTGCCACCTTTAATTAAGAATCCCCATGAGCCATTTCCCTGAATAAGGAAATTCTAGATACTGCAGTCCTACCAAGCTTCCAAGAAAATATTTTAAATCTTGAAAAGGAAGTGTATTTTCTAATATGAAAGATATTGTATTTTATTTACTATTTACATATAGGAACAAGTGGCTGGGGAAAACCTACGGAGTTTACATACGGTATTGTATAAATATTTGCAACTAACCATCTGGTTTTTCACTCACTAAATGGAAATCATATTTGATACTATGCTAACTCAGAGCATCCAGCACACTCATTTAACAAATTTAGTCCCCACTATCTAAATGTGCCTAGCCATACCTGTCTATGTAGTTTAGCAGGAGGACAGGAGCTCCAAAAAAGATCTGCTGCCTATATTTTCTGATTTGCAGTGTCCAGATTTATCAGAAGCACAGCTAGCATAATATAAAAGTAGTGTAACTGTGTGAATGCTGGGTAAAGCAGAACTTGTAGGAGTGCAAAGATACAAGGCCCAGAACTATGACCAGAGCTAGAGAAGATATGATTAAAGCCAGAAACAAAATGAGAATAACCATTTTCAGAAAGAAACCTGACTTTTAGAACATCAAAACCAGTAATGTTGCTCAAATACCGATCTCACATGACCCACACCCCAGCCTAAATGTTGCTGAAGTCAAGTGACCTAATCTTAAATAGAAGTCAAAATTTCAAAGTGTCTTCCAGTCATATGGGGTGAGGGGAAGCATACAAACCTGATGTTTATTCTCATAATGCTAAACCATGGTTTAAGCAAGTCCTAGTGCAAGGCCATAATAAAGATGGTTATTTCCCTCCTCCCCTTTTCTCATACTTATACGGTGACATATTTCATACACGTTAAATTTATCACTTAATAAAAATACATTTTTCCACTATGATCTTCTGCTACTGATAATACTTACAACTCCCCACCAAAGGGCATCTGCATAGCTGCTAAATTCATGTTTGCCTGAATCATCCACAGCATCTTTTTCAGCCAAATATACAAAATAAGATGAAAAAATCAGGCCAAGGAACCCAATGTATAGGGTGGTTATCAACTCCTACAAAGAAAATGAAAACAAAAGAATGGAAAGTTTGTGACATTTCAGAACACAGATGTTGCCAAAGGCTATTCTGTAAAACTAGCATTAACTCTTGTGCTCAGCTAATCTCTTGGGGTCTGCATTCCACTGCAGTAAGAAACATAAGTAAACTAGGTGGTTTATGGAGAAAGTGGGTCACACTAATCCTGCATGGACAGCAATTAATTTCAAATTTCTCAAGAGTGTAAAAAAATTCCAATATGTCTTGACTAAAGGCTTGTAAATCATGTTAACCCAGTATTGGGCAAAAAGGTAACTCGTATGGATTGCAGATGAAAGAATCCTATAATTCTGAATCTAGAGAAACATCAACAATATTGTCAAAACAGAAGATTGACACGTGATTTCCCATCACTGGAGGTTTTCAAGAAAAGATTGGACAGCCATCTGTCCAGGGTGGTATGAGATCTTGGATGGTATGAGGTCTCCTACTTGGGCAGGGGGTTGGGCTAGAAGACCTCCATGGTCCCTTCCAACCCTACAATGATTCTATGATTCACTCCTAGTACACTCCTATGCATATCTACTCAAAAACACCGGTAAGCTCCCTGACCCAAATCCCATTCTCAGTCACATCTAGAACAGAGCCACTAAATCAATGCAATTTTAAGTCAACACTTTTAAGTCCTATTGATAACATGAGTCTACTCTAGTTGGAGCTTGGAAATGGACCACTACATTCAACTAAACTTAATTTCACATGTGTATGATTGCAGCCAAAATTCCAAAACTATTGTTTATGATTTATGGTAAAAAATATGTGCATGGAAGAAACTATGATCTGGACAAACTGTAACAGAACTTTAAAAATACATGGAAGATCTAGCAACATGTTTCCACAAGTTTGTTCCCCCACATGCATTGGTTTCAAAATTGCTAAGGGTTTTACCCTATTAAATAATTCATAACCAATTAATCATGCTAACCTTAATAAATGTATCAATTAATTAAACAGATTAAATGTACACATGAGTAAAAAGCCATTCTTTTGAACCAAAAAACAGATCTGGTTTATTAAATATGTCATAGCAGGCATTTTTCATATACAAGTAAGAAAGGATTATAATTTAAGATCATATTTGTCATAAATTCAAATTGAATTTAAACCAACATTTTACACACACACAAAGAAACAGTTCTGATTGATCAGGAGGGCTTTTAGTCAAAATTTAAAACAAACAAACAAAACTAAAAGAAGCTGCAAACCTTTAAAAAAAAGTCTGGTTACTTCAAAACTATTATGTATAACATGTGACATAAATTTCTAACAGAAAATTCTCAAAACAATTAATGCTATCAGACTTTTACCACAGACTGGGGCTTCTTATAACAAGGGAGACAAAAAGGGAGTCTACATTTTGTCCTCACACAAAGTGCTATAAACAAATGTAATCTTAGCCATGTTCAGACAATTGCATCTCAGTTTATTAAGCCAAGGTATGCACAAGTATTTCACCTACATATACAGCCCCTTTGCAGCAACCTAGAGTTAAATTAGAATGCCTTCATAAACCAACTTCATATTTTATCCAAACTGAAAAGCTATTATTATCAGATTTGGAACTAATCAGGATATTAAAACATGAATGGACATTATGGTTATTTTAATATTCAGATAGCTCTGAAGCTACTAAGCCTAATTTCCTGTTCAGTTAAAACAGGAAAATAGGGCTAATTTGAGGGTCCCTAATCAGTTGGAACATGCAGTTGTTCTAGCTAGGACTAAGAACAAAGGAGAGAAGAAAAGAGGCTGCATGCACAAGCAAAAGGCTCATGCATATGTTGGCTCATTAAGCTGAGGTGTGACCATCTGCACTGTTACCCATATATTGATTTAAATAAATTATATGTTGATGGACGGACCACCTGTCAAGGATGCTTTAGTTGAGGATTTCCTGCTTTGGAAGTGGACTGGACTCAAGTTACTCCTGTGCTCCCTTACAACCCAGTCTTCTATAGTGGAAATCCTAGCGTGCACAGCTCCGGTAGTCTACAGCTGGTGACATCAACAGTCAAAGCAGGTTTTCTGAAATTAAACATTTCTGCCCCTCATCTCCCAGCCCCCACAGGCCCCAGAGAATTCATTTCAGAACTTGTGAAGGCTGTGGGATAGGAGGGTGAAGTCTTACTGAAAATCAAAGTAGCACAATGACTTTACTGGCAGTGGCAATTTAAAGACACCCTTCTCCTGCCCCTCATCCCTCACGGGATCTCAGCAATAAAAGGAGTTACTCAGAACCCACAGGGGGCAGGAGATAGAAGAAAGAAATGTTTATTTTTCAAAAAATTGCCTCAACATATGACTGCATCAGCCCTATGCCACAGAACTCATATGAACGGAATGTTAGCATATGATTTAACAATCATATGTGCCCGTTTATACTGTGAATGTGACAAGATCACATATTGTTACCCCATTTTCAGGGTAAATTCAGGGATAACAATATCAAATAATTTATGTCTCAATCCTAAAAAGTTGCACTCTCTCCATTAGCACAAAAATTGGTTTTCAGTGCTACAGCTCACAGAGAATCCTACTCTCAGAACTTAAAGCAGTAATTCAGTTCTGTTCTCTTCTGATGAAAGTCCTCCACAGCATTCTAACTGAGGATCGTCACTAGCTTCTAGGCCTTCAGTGACCAGCAGAAGCCTATCATGTGTGAAATAAAGAGTGAGGGAAGGTTCTGCCCCACTCCACACACCACAGTAATCCAGCAGGGATATATGGGCAACACGGTGCTGAATCTGGCAAAGAACATTTCTGTTGGCCCCAAGAACTACAGAATCAGTGCAAAGGTTCTAACTGCCTAACAATAAAATATCTTTAGCATTCTCAGTTGTCTTCTCGTGTTTTATGTACCTGTCTGTGTATGAAAACAACTGATCCCAGAAGTCTCCAGGTGCCACCCTGACGGTCTACGTGAAGCATGCGCAAAATCTGCAAGAACCTGATGCCCCTGGAACAAAATTTATTAAATTAAGTGAAAAAAAATTTTAAATCCACAAAAAGGTACTTTTTAAAGAGAACAAAAAAGGAATTATTGCTCATTGTTAACATGCTTACCTGATAGCTGAGGTTGCAAAAACTTGACCTTTAGAACCCACACAAAGCACTACCATTGAAGCAACAACTACAATTAGATCTAGAAAATTAAAAAAAAGACACAACATGCTGTGGATTAGAAATTTCTTCTCACTTGTGTGCATTCATGATACTTCATGCTAGAAGCAGGTTTCAATTAGGTGTCTATGTCAGACATAGGAAATATTACTTTCCCCACCTCTAATGTACTCGCATAAAAGTCTCATTCATTGTTGAGACTTACAGTGCACATAAAGATTACAGTCCTTAATGTTTAAAATTATTGCACTTCCTTAAACATGCTATTCTGATTGTTGAATTAGAATGTCAAATGTTCTCTGAATTACCAGAGAACACAACACCAGCAGAGACAACATTTCTGGCTTAGGAAGTGGGAAAGAATAAAATCTTTTTAAATGTAACAGAAACAGTTAAGTTCAATATTATGAATACTCACCAATAATGGAAATGGGCTTTCTAGCAAAACGAAGCCTTCCCCAGAAACCAACATATTTACTTCGGCATCCTGAAGACCATAATCGAACCACATATTCTGTTCCAAAAAACACGACTAATACAATTTCCTAAAGAGGGGGTGGGGGAAGAAAAAGAAAATTGATTGATTTAATCACTTTTAATATTTTCCAGGTGGCATTAACTGAAAATGAAATGCTTGTGTGTGAGAAAGTATAGTGTAAAATATATAAGAATAGAAAACTAGGCAAAGAAATATAATTTATCTCATGGAATTTAGCAGATCCAGATGTGATAAAATTTTTAATATGCATATTAAAATCATGTCTCCTCAAATTCTCACCCATTTCAGTAGTACATATTTCCTATTATTAGGATTGTAACCTTAATTTAATATTTTTGTTTCCATTTTGTACAATATTAATATGAAAATAAATATAAAAGGTGCTGAAATACAAGAAAACTAAAGCATAGTACAATCCTACATACAGAGGAATATGTTCCACTTAACTTGATAGGGGTTACTCTAAATAGATATACCTGAGGTTTCAATGCCAATGATACAATTGTTTACATGAAAATATTATGACATATTTTTCTATTTCATTTGTTACTTTTTAGATTATTAATTGTACATGAACTGGATTATTCTAGAATATCCCTCTGTCACTTCATAATTGGAGTCAATAGGCTCCCAATATCTTATTTGAAAACAACTATTAAGTCAATAAGCCAGCTGGGTTGTTTTTATGTTGAAAAATAAAACTAAAAAGCAGCTAAGAGAAGCTCATGCTATATGTGCCCTCTAAAACTACCATACTTCAAGGGAGCAAAATACAAGAAAATAGCAATTAACCAAAATCAAACCATGAGAAAGGGAAAAGGGGAGTTGTACTGAACAAGAACTCCACACATGCAAATTAGAGTTTAATTTTGTAAGAAGAGTAGGAAAACAGAAAGAAATAAAAGACTACATTATGGGTGCTTTTAGATTTGCAATGTGCAGATTTTTGCGGGGGGGGGGGAGTGTTATTGTCAGTAAAATTTGCATGAGAGTTGTGTGTATTTAAAGAGCCTCCGTGGTTCATTGGATAACAGGAACACTGACAAATATGCAAATGTAGGCTGCCCTAAAGACAATGAAACAGACATGTAGTCAATGGTTACTGTCATCCAGTTCTTTGCATGACAAGCAGACAAGCTTAAAGAACATTGATTGTTCTATAGACTCCTGCAACTGGAGAGAACAACCAGTCGGCTTACACCAAGACACATTTTTCACTCCTGACGTTTTGATAAAGGCTTATTGACCTAAATGAGACCCATGTTATTCAAGAAACATTAGAGGTGAAAGTGCACAAGCTGTTCTTCATGGTCATACACAAAAATGCCAGGTATCCATTAGCAACTGGCAAATTCTCCCTCCCTTGCCCGTGGCCGGGTGACAGACAAAAGTGTTTTTTAATATCTCATCTTGTATAAATGCAATAAGCCATCTAGTGGGGGAGGAGGAGGCTGATTGATTTTTGTCACTACATTTAGAGGCAGCTGCCAAAGAAGTTCAAGACAGGCAAAAGGCAATACTATTTACATTTGAAATAAGCTGGGACAATCATTAGAAAGGCAAACAAACAGGTCCTCATGAACTACTTCAATATACCCCATATACCATTCCCTAGTAAACCAAAGTTTCAGTCATTCTGCCATTTAGCTATTTTACAAAACCACCTAGAAGACATTTTAAAGCTTAATTTCAAGTTTAGCAATTGTCTGTTGTCACCAATAAAGACAGTAAAGTTATTAGGAGTGAACCAAGTAGTAAAAACACATCTCACACCAGACGCTTGTATTTATACTGCACTATTCAAAATATCTTGGGGACGTGGTGGCGCTGCGGGTTAAACTGCAGAAGCCTCTGTGCTGCAAGATCGGAAGACCAGAAGTCGTAAGATCGAATCCATGTTACGGACAGAGCTCCCGTCGCTTGTCCCAGGTTCTGCCAACCTAGCAGTTCGAAAGCATGCAAATGAGCGTAGATAAATAGGTACCGCCATGGAGGGAATGTAACGGCATTCCATGTCTAGTCGCACTGGCCATGTGACCACGGAAATTGTCTTCGGACAAAACACTGTCTCTACAGCTTGGAAACAGGGATGAGCAACCGCCTCCTAGAGTCGGACATGACTGGACTAAATGTCAAGGGGAACCTTTACCTTTACCTGTTCAAAATACAGTCGTATTTCTTGCAGAGTATTGTCTGTGCGTAAATCATCCACCTTCTTTTTTAGAAAAGCCCAGTATGAATCCTTTAAAACTATGAGCGAACCACCACCACCAGGAAATAGGGCCAGGAAGGTTTCTGGCCAATAGCAGATCACTTCTTCCATAACTCATTCTTTCTGCAAAGTACAGTGTTACCTTCCTTTCCTAGTAGCATAAAGGCTATAAGTGGGGGTGAGCAAGATTTGGGCTTTCTTTCTTTCTTTCTTTCTTTCTTTCTTCTACTAAAACTCCAATATATACCAACAAATGCTCAAAAATAAACAAAAAGCATTTCCTTTAAAAAAAAAGGCATACACACACCCTTAATTCCCTATCCCAAGTTGTGTACATTTTTGCAGCCTAACTAATGCATAACAAGTCACCTTTTATCTCCAAACTCAAAATGCAACTGGGGATCTGACAAATGGACTGCATTCTACAAAAATTTGCATTATATTTGTTCATCTTTAAGAGGCTACACATCTCTTCATTTAAAAAAAACGGTGCTTTACAGCTACATTTCTGGAACTATAGTGAAAAATTATGTAAACATTTGCTGTAAACATCAGGGCTGGAACATGCAGCACCAGTCATAATATCATGACAAGAAGAGGCTTCATATCTGATACTGCTAAGGACACTTCGTCCTCCCATCATTTATTTTAACTTGAATGTGGAATCGATTCATTTAAATTGATCTGCCATATATGAACACCTCAGTAAGCATTACTTTTAAGAAGCCCTTCCACTGGTTGACTCTCACAGACATTTGCCCATGCTATTGTGGTGTTATTTTTTAATTTCCTTTTAATTCTTGCTGTCTGGTACAGTGCTATATCACTTAGAAATAATTTAGAACAGTTAAAAATTAAACCAGAGCTATGCTTTGCTCTCCATTGGACTCACTGGTCAGCTGTTCAGCAGGCAGGCAGGTCACTTGCCTGCTCCTAGCAGAAGTTCTCATCAGAATCATGTGTAAGAAAACAAGCTGCTTTGGGAGGCCCTGCAAAGAGCAGGAGAAATTGCCATCATGGAGTGGCCTTGCTTCCCAAAGGCAAACTTCAGCAGCCCCTCAGTGTCCAGGACACAGTACATGCTGCTCCAACTGCTAAGTGCAAGAGGCTGCAGAATGGCCAGCCAAATTCAAGAAATGGGGAGGGGGTGGAGAAGGCACCCTCATGACAACCATAGCAATGGTGGCACTGGTGTCCGCTAAACCACTAACACTGTGGCTACTGCTACTTATTAAGTACTTACTGGCTGGTAAGCCAGTCTAGGTACACAAGTGCTGACTCCTTTTTAAAAAGACAAAATGGATTAAAAGGTGCTGAGGGAATGTGCACAGCAATTCAAATACCACGGGACTGCCACATGACTTAAAATTAATTCAAATAACACTGCTACAAAATCCAAATTATTTCATTAATGTAGCCACACTCTGAGTTATCAGGCTTTGCAGATACATCTCTAATTGACTCAGCCATTATTTCATTTACCTGACCACTCCTTCCAACAGGAAGCAAGGTTATTATATTTAATTAAGCTTTATATGACACTTTGTACCTGTGATTCTCCAGCCCCCTTAATTCTTGCAGTATCAGCCATACTTTTTTGTCTGACGGACATCATTGCTGATCTGCCCCAATCCAAAATTTTCTTTGTCAGCATAAGGAAATACATTTTATGGGCAAGAAACTAAGAAACTGTAAGTATCCAATGAGTTATTCATGGCAGGAACTCCACCATGGAGAGACATTTTGAAATCAAGCTAATCCCTCCTCCCCAAAGGTACTTCCCTTGAGTGGAATTTTTTTACAGGTGATAAGCTTTAACCGGAATTCTCCTAATACAGAACAGAGCTAATGATAAGTAAAAAGGCAATGTGGGAGAGAGAGAAACATTTGCTCTTCATTTCCCATAGAACTTGCCTTCCATAGAACTTGCCAACCAGTGTCTATCTCCACTAATCAGGGTTTATCACATGGCAGGAAAAATATTCCCAGAGGACTAGTGTTCCTAGACTCAAGTGAAAGCAGATATAACATTGCTCTCTCCTACACTGATCTTAAACAAAATCCCAAATAAGAGGGATGGTGTCACTTGGCTAACTTTAGTGCGTGTTAAACTAATGGCTTTTCCTCTGCCTTGAGGGAAAGTTTTGCCAGCTAATATAAGCTCATAGTGCACCTGTGCCTCACAAATTTCACATGCAGTCATTATTGGCAAAGAACATCATAGCAATATTTTTAAACTTCTTACTAGGCTGTGCTAGACGACACTCAGTTGGAATTTGCATACAAACTATATTGAACCCTCCATTTCTTCCTTTAATGATGGCCTGTTTAGTTCAGAGCAAAAATTTTTAAAGAGGTTTTAGCATACTTTAGAAAGGATCAATATCATAACATCCACACTGTGAAATAATACAGAACAAAAACAAAATTTTTACTAAAGTTCAAAAATAACTTACATTTTTATAATCTAAAATATTAAATATTTGTTTCTGGACCAGCAAAGCATTAAACATTAGTAAGAACCAATGGAGTCATGAGTATGGTTACAACTAGAGATGGGAACAAAGTACTTAATGCCCTTTGTTATAAGTCATCTGCAGGGCAGCACAACTACCATGCATTCATGTCCCCCACCCCCCCCTCACCGGCACCTCCACTTGCCAGCTGGTGCAGGTTGCTCCAGACTTCCCTTCTCTGCCTCCCCCAGCAGCTGGCTACTCAAAGGCAGTGCTGCAGGAATCCCTGCCACGCCTCATCATCTGAGTGGCCAGCTGCTGGAGGAGACAGAGAAGGAAAGTGCCACCCAGAGTTTCCAGTCAATGCTGCAGCTGTTG